CAGCTTGAAAGCATCTTAGCAGCATTACAGAAACAGCTGTCCAGGTGTGAATGAACGGCATATAACTCATATACACGCATTGAGGTTTGCAAGCAGTTTACAGTATGCTGGTAGTGCCAGCCCCAGTCCCAAAGAAAAACATAGGGGTTGATTTACTAAAGGTAAATCGGCTGTTCAATTTTTGAGGGAATTTTCCATTAAAGGGTTGATTGAGCTTTACCAAAAAATTGTTTATGCAGATAAGGGATGCCTGTAGGTTTTGACCAAAGTTAAACAATTCCCTTGCTGTAGGTGTAAGCCACGTATGCACCTCCTGAAACTTGGCTGACAAACTCATCACCCTGTCTAGCCTTGTTTCTAGGCTATTGCTAAGACACTCCCAACTGCTACTGCTCATCCCCACCATCACAGGGCCGAACTCTCAAACCCTTGCTCATGTGTGGTCCACGGTCTTCTCTGTGGCATCATCACTGAGCTCAGAGCTACTGCAATAGGAAAGACATTGCACATGTGAAGGGGCTTGAATTGGCTGGGGGTGTTTTAACATGTTCTAGCACTAGTACACTAAAGGCCTAGGGCACACTGAGTAAGCACAGGAGGAGTAAGCAGTGAAAAAATGGCGGTAAGAAAAATAACTTTTTTAAAAATCATAATAACTTTGGCAGAAGGCCAATTAGCAGGAATGCAACATATAATAGACAGAATCTGAGTCCCCCAAGGATTCAATGGTGGGTACAAAAGTCTATTTTTCTCCCAGCATTCATTGGAGGACACAGTCTCTGACCTCTGGGACATCCAAAAGAAATTCCAAAAAAGGAAGGAGGGAAAAAATGTATCAATAGGCTAAAAAGGCATTCTAAAAGATTGGATTTTTTAAAAAAATAAACATATATTTTACCTACCTGCTCTGTGCAATGGTTTTACACAGAGCAACCCCAATACTCTTCTTTTTGTGGCCCCCCGCCAGGGGTCTAGGCTGCTCCCCCTAGCTGATTGCGGCCAATAACAAACCTCTTGCTATGGGGGCACTTGAGAAGGCTCACTCCTGTGCTGCTCTCCTATGAATGGACATTGTCACACATAAAACTCTGGTCGACCACTCCCCCACCTCTCTCCTCACTGGCTGTGACAGCGGCGGGAGCTACTATGAGCCAATGAGGAGAGAGAGAATAGGGAGAGCCGCGGCTCTCATTCATATTGCTGGAACGAGATGGGGCTCAGGCGAGAAAAAGGGGGAGTAGCACCAAGGTGGTTTTTTTATCTTAACATTCACATGAAAAAGGTTGGACAATGTGTGAACAGAAGACCAGATAGTTGCATACCAGGAAAACAGATGTCTGGTGCCAAAGGATAGAACATGCGCTAACCACTTTAGTAGAATGAACAATGAAAGGGAACAGGGGATCTTGCCCTTTGAGACAATCACCTGTAAAATAATTTGTCGAATTCAAGAGTGAGATGGTTGTAAGTGGTGCCAAAGCTTCATTACAGAGACACTCTGGGATAATGAAAAGAGTCAGTCTTCCATAACAAAAATATTACATACATATAAACGCTAACTGACTGCGTCTCATCTAGCAATGAGCAAGTTCTTTGGGGCAAGAAGGAGATAGAAAGAAGAATCATAGTATGACATCCTCATTGAAGGAGAACGAGGTCACAACCTTTGGAAGAAAGGACAGTCTAGGCCAGAAAATCTACCTTGCCCTTGTGAAGATTAAGAAACGGCAACAAGACTGCCACTCCTGACACCCTCCAGTCTGAGATGATGATAATAAAAAAAAAAAATCTACCTTCTGAGACAGTATCATAGAAGAGATCTCACTCAGTGGCTCAAAACTGGCATCCTGAAATGCAGAAATCAATAGATTAAGATCCGAGAGAGCCATAGGAGGCTTGAGAGATGGGATAATGTAGCACCTGAAAAGAAGGTGCAAATCAAGGAATGGGACGCCATGGGTCTGTGAAATATAATCACAAGTGCTAAATCGTGGCCCCTGATAGCACCAGACACTTATACTGTACATGCCAGGCTAACAAACGAAGAATCCCAGCAACTGTGACGTTTCTTGGGTTAAGCGTATAAGTTTCACGCGATACAAAAAGCCTTCCAGTACATTAGAAGAAGGCTTGTGTCATGAAAGAAATAGCTTTTGACAAACCACTTTCTCTTGGAACCTAGGTTTTAATAGCCATGTTGTTAAAGCCTAAGATTGAAAAGCAAGTTAGAATATTGGCATTTGGAAGATTTGAAAGGGGAGAGGCAATGGAACAACTGCAACCAAAGGAATTATATCTAAGTATCAGTCTGTTCTTGCCCAGTCCAGAATGTTGGGAATCCATTTTGCCTTGATCTACTTTTAGGAGACATGAAAAATCTTAAGCAAAAGAAACAAGGATCAAAGTGCAGGGTGTTAACGAAGCTTCCGGATGGTTTTGTATGAAATAGGAGACTTTCTATAGAGGGGGTCTGTCCTATTTTGAGAGGTTGTTCTTCTATAATGTTTCAGTTTCAAACTAAGCCAAGGGTATTACCTCAAAAGAACAATATCATTAGTTCCAAGACTTGCATGCATCTGCTTGGAGATGAGACATGCTGTATCCAGCCAAGAGGAAGGGGGAAGAAAAAAACTATGCCAATCTGATATCCAGCAACAGGGCCAAGTACTGCAGACATTGTGATGAAGCTAATGAACACTTCTGCTATTCTACCACCCATAGTTTTGCAGGGAATGCAGTGCAATATGCAGACTGTGTTGCACGTTCTGGGATGATAGGAATTTCATACCCAGATTGTTGAAAGAGGTGAACACCGAGTTGCCTTTGGTAGTGCTGGAGCCAAAACAACTGTGGAACATGTGGCCAGACTAAAAGGTAAGGCCACAAACTGGAAACGCTGCTCCCCCAATGCAAAATAAGAGGGATTATAGTTGCTTATGGTAGCAATGTCCACTTCTTCATCACTTCCCTAGAATACTATGTCAGACTAGTTCCACTCTCTAGCAATTATGTCAGATATTTGATGACTAAAACCTTTTCAGAACACTACTGTCTAAAATCCCAGCTGTTTGGCTACACTGCTGTCAGAGGCATTATATTCCTCAATCTTAAGAGTCTAAAGTACAACCCGAATTAAGCATTCCTTTAACTTTCCTATGGTGGAAAGTTGCATCTTCTAGCAATTCACTTGATTCACTTTGAAAAGAAAGGGACCCTGCACGAGAAACATGTGCAGCAGTTGAGGCCCATAGTGGTGCAAGTGAAACCGCATGTACTGAATCTAACACTTCAGACAATATAAGTGAAGAAGGGGGCAGTTTCCTGAATTCCCTATGGCTGGAATGGCAAGGTCCTAGTCTAAAAACCCACCAATCATGGCAGGTAATTGAGGCAAGATACGCAAGCCACTACTAAACCTGGGAAGGAATACAGGTGGGAACAGAGGTAGTTAATCTTAAGGGTGCATAGGGCACAAGAAAAATGTTAATGGTGCTATGAAGGTCTGCCAACATCAGCAAGATGACATGCTCTCTCTGGTGTCAGACATGTGGAAAGGATCACAGACATTCTAGAAAAGACCACTGGTAGTCCGACATGTTGCAAAGATCATTAGCAGCCCAGGAAAGGCTGCAGGTAGTATATCCTAGGACCCACCACTGCCCCAGGAAAGGCAACAGGCTGTCCAAATTAAAAAAACAGAGGCATGCAATCACCGGTAGGTCCCGGTTATGTAGTTCCATAGTCTGTCTTGTCTGTGAAGCAGGTAGTAGAGGACTGTAGAAGCAGGAATACAGAGAGTTGCTTGCAGAATGCTCTCCCCTACCACAAGGCTGTTCTGGTGTGGTCACTGTCCACTTCCTGCAGAAGTGCAGCAGAGAGAATGTTCTACAGGAAAAAGGACTGTGAAGTATATTTTCTAGTCAGTGAGGCAGTAGAATGGTGGGAATGGCTGTACAGTGAAAGCAGGTTACCAAAAGTAGATGCTAATAATGAGCAATTAGGAAGCCCACTTCTTTGTCTCTGCCCCAGAGAAACACAATACAGTTCTCTGTATACAGTTCACTCTGTATACATACCACTAACGGGGGTGAAGCAGCAATGTCCAAATCTGGAAGTTCGGTATAGCACTGAACAGGGCAATGGCCACTGTGGTGAATTTTTTTTATTTGGAGGTCCAGTATAACATGAGTAGGATGGCTGCTCTAGTCTGAGGGCTTGATATGACATGGACCCAAATGATGAGCGCTATGATGAATATCCATATCTGGGGTGGTCTAGAATGACACATAAGGAGTCAACAACGGCAGCACCAAATAACCAAATCTAAACACTTTGACACTAACCTAGCATTACTGCTGGGTTAAATATCCAGGATCTAGGTCAGAAGAGGAAGAAAAAAAAGTTTACCAGAGATGGGTTATAAGCTTTCCAAAAAGCACACTGGTGAGTTAAAGAATTAAGGTATTTCTTACAGAAACAATTGAATACTGACGTGATACTTTTTTTTTATTTGCACTAACATACAATTTTGAGGACAAGCTTTCGGAGTATGTCCCCTTCTTCAAGGTCCAGGCAGTACTACAGATATTTCTTATCTAACAGATAGATCCCTACACCCGTGTTCTCAGATTTACCCACCTGCCACAGCTGTTACAAGAAGGTCTTATACTTTCTGTTGTTTTTTTCCCATTTATCTTACATGACAGAAAATGCATAATTAAGAGCAAGAATCTTTGTTGAGAAAACAGAGCCATTTCAAAAGGTCCCATCACTAGATTTCACCCAAGAGATATAAGAAGTCAGTCAGTGAGTAATTTATCATGCCAGATTCCAAATGGTGCTAAAAATGGCTTGGGATTGGGCTGATGCTTTAAAATGAGAGACTTAAAACTGGAAGATAAGAGCTTTTAAACCGCAAAACAGAATATGGTCAAGCACATTTCCAAACGGATTTTGGTGACTAGTATAAAGCATTTAAAAACACCCCTGTAAGTACCTACCTTGGGAGGTTTGGTGCAGATGCTGAGGTGACCACCACAGTTGGAGATGAAGGAGTAGAAGGCTGTGGAGATTCTGGGGCTCGTGGGACTCTTCCCATTCTATACCAGATGCCCATACTATTCAATTCCCTTTAAGCAAACGTACAAATAGTCTTTTAAGAACACAAAAGCTATATATTAAAAAGACTTTCCATATAAAGTTATTTTCAAGCAATTATAATGTTTTTTGCTTATTTGTGTTTTCTTTCTTTTTATGGCAGGTTGTGCGTGATTCATTCTGTGCCCTTCAGCAATAAGCTACATCTGTATATATATAGTATTTTTTATTTTTTTTATAGTTGAACTGGATGGAGTTTTGTCTTTTTTCAGCCAGACTAACTATGTAACTATGTATGTAACTATAGTAAAAGCTTCAGGGAGTCTCACCTAATTTTAAGTCAGATAGCCCCATTAAAAAATGGAATGCTGGCCCGTAACCACTGGACACTCCCAAAAAACCCTCTAATAGCCACATGTGGTTACTACAATACTATATTTTGTATAACAAACCATCAATTTTTAACATACCGTACCATGGTCTTTATGTAATTGTCTTGTAACCATTAGATTTTTTCGTGGCCCTTCAGCAAAATGGTGCTTTTGCCTAAGGGATATGCCTTCCATTTTCTAAACTTCTACTTTTTTCCTCAGCAGCCTTAGTTCTCCCACCTGACTAAAGCCTTATTTTTTATTAGAACCGTGCCACTTGCTCTGTAAATAGCCACGAAAGGCTATTTTTCTAGGAGAAAATCTTTTGGTTGCATTGGATTACTTAACAAAAAAGTTGCTTGAAGAGAAAAGGCTGATGATAACTTTCCCAAGCTATGTACATCAAATACACATACAGGTGAAACTCGAAAAATTAGAATATCATGCAAAAGTTCATTTATTTCAGTAATGCAACTTAAAAGGTGAAACGAATATATGAGATAGACTCATAACATGCAAAGCAAGATAGTTCAAGCCGTGATTTGTCATAATTGTGATGATTATGGCTTACAGCTCATGAAAACTCCAAATCCACAATCTCAAAAAATTAGAATATTACATGCAATCAATAAAACAAGGATTGTACATAGAACAATATCGAACCTCTGAAAAGTATAAGCATGCATATGTACTCAGTACTTGGTTTGGGCCACTTTTGCAGCAATTTCTGCCTCAATGCAGCGTGGCATGGAAGCTAAGGCCTAGCGGCCTTCAGCTCTTCTGCATTGTTCGGTCTCATGTCTCTCATCTTTCTCTTGGCAATGCCCCATACATTCTCTATGGGGTTCAGGTCAGGCGAGTTTGCTGGCCAATCAAGTACAGTAATCCCACGGTCATTGAGCCAGGTTTTGGTGCTTTTGGCAGTGTGGGCAGGTGCCAAGTCCTGCTAGAAATGAAGTCAGCATCCCCATAAAGCCTGTCTGCGTAAGGAAGCATAAAGTGCTCCAAAATGTCCTGGTAGACAGCTGCGTTGACCCTGGACTTAATGAAGCACAGTGGACCAACACCAGCAGATGACATGGCTCCCCAAATCAACACAGACTGTGGAAACTTCACACTGGACTTCAAGCATCTTGCAGTGTGTGCCTCTCCATTCTTCCTCCATACTCTGGGTCCTTGGTTTCCAAATAAGATGCAAAAGTTGCTCTCATCAGAAAAGAGGACTTTGGACCACTGAGCAACAGACCAGGTCTGTTTTTCTTTAGCCCAGGTAAGACGCTTCCGATGTTGTTTGTTGTTCAGGAGCGGCTTAACAAGATGAATACGACATTTGAAGCCCATGTCCAGGATCCATCTGTGTGTGGTGGTTCTTGATGCACCGACTTCAGCCTCAGTCCACTCCTTGTGAAAGTCCCCAACACTTTTGAATGGCTTTTTCCTGACAATCCTCTCCAGGCTGCGGTCATCCCTGCTGCTTGTGCACCTTTTTCTTCCACACTTTTCCCTTCCACATAACTTTCTATTAATGTGCTTTGATACAGCACTTTGGGAACATCCAACTTCTTTTGCAATTACCTTTTGAGGCTTTCCCTCCTTATGGAGGGTGTCAATGATGGTTTTCTGCACAACTGTCAGGTCAGCAGTCTTTCCCATGATTGTGATTCCTACTGAACCAGACTGAGAGACCATTTAAAGGCTCAGGAACCCTTTGCAGGTGTTATGGCTTAATTAGCTGATTAGAGTGGGACACTGAGCCTAGAATATTGCACCTTTTCACAATATTTAAATTTTCTGAGATTGTGGATTTGGGGTTTTTTCATGAGCTGTAAGCCATAATCATCACAATTATGACAAATCACGGCTTGATCTATCTTGCTTTGCATGTAATGAGTCTATCTCATATATATTAGTTTCACCTTTTAAGTTTCATTACTGAAATAAATGAACTTTTGCACGATATTCAAATTTTTCGAGTTTCACCTGTATATGGACAGAAAATGTTATGTGCTGAAATTTGCATAAATGTAAAGGATAAGCTCAGCTTCAAAATAAATAAAGCAAATTTTTTGCAGGTAAAAAAAAAAAAAGTGCATTTATTTTTTTTCTTGAGAGCCTGTAAAGCATTACACCTGTTATCCGTAGATCACGGGTGCAATGTCAGGCTCTTGCAAACTGTTAGTACACCGTTTGCCCGTACCTCCTGGCAGACAGTTGCTGAAGTCTAGAAGCTTAATGGACTATGAAAGAGCTCACCAGTGCTCTCGCAGTTCATTGAGAACAACAAGCAATGGCTGACAATACTTGTAAGTATTCATTCACAGAACTCTGTGAATGAATTATGTGGCTGTGTGGGCAGAGCCCTGCACAGCTGCGATGTTTTCAAATTGCGACAGCGGGTTTGGTGAGAAGGTCCCCCACCAGTTGTCACAAGGAGGGGTCGGATCGGGGATGATGTGGTGGATGCTGTATATGTTACACCCTAAATACAGGTGTAACATGTTGAGAAATGTGAACTTATCCTTTAAAGCCTAATTCGATGTCTGTGTGTCCTCAGCTATGAGCCCTCATAGGTTTTGATGATGTCAGAGGACCCAACACTGCTTTAGCATAATAGAAAAGAGGCTCCAGGGACCAGTCTAGCAGCATGGAGAAGCCAGCAAGAGTAAAGGATTATGTAAGTAAAAGTGCTTTACCCGTTTTCTCTAGACATAAGCAGTCAAGCCTTGCAGTGTGTGCACAGCCCCATTGCAAGGGAGGACTTTTAGTTTTTCTGGAGTTCTGCCCTAAAGTAGATTGTAAGATAGAAATACAACTTAATTTTACACCCAGTTCAATTGTTATGATTTTTTTTTGTAAATCATCAGCCTGTGATGTACATACACATTTTAATGGCCATCTAATCACAAGGATACACTACAGTTCAGGATAACATATTTTACCAAAGAATGAGCATACCAACTAAAATCATCCATGTGAAGAACAATGCTTGCCACACTTGTTACACACTGATTGTACATATTTCACATTTACCACTATGGGACTATGTGAATATATTCTTTGGGCAGGCCCTCACACTACAATATTGTTGATAAAGCCGAATACAAGTGTGGCCATTTTAATAGATACAATGGAGATGTACTTACCCAATAAATGTGTACTGTGGTGGAGCCTGTTTAGAGCGGCTCAAAATACGAATATCACATATGGCAGCTTCTGTGGAATCTCGTGGAATGAACTTTATGCACAGACGCTTCTTTCTAAAGGCGACTTCCTCTGTAGAGAAATCATGAATAAAGTAACATAACTGTACAACAAGCAGAGTTATCTCAGTCATAGTTATACAAAGAGAAAGCTTGGGTGCATTATAGCTTGAGGCCTGTACAATTCATTGTTTCACATAAGGCAATGCAGACCTGCCCATTAATGAGTCATATACCAGATAGAGCTATTACTTAATGTAGCTGTCGTTCGAGTTCGCTAAATGTGAAAACAGTAGCCTTGGGCATAGGATGGAGTAGAATCTCCAGGTAGAGATGAATTGTAGAGACAGGATTTAGGAAATTTGAGTAGCGCTAGAACCTTATGGTAATCCTAATGTTATAAGGGTATAGAGGTATTCAATAGATGTCTGTATTATTGAGTCTGGCAACTTCTTTATGAGAAAATGAACCCCACTGTCTCCTTGAACAGCAGGATGTGTCAGCAGCTGGTTCAGACAGGGATGTCTATCAAAGTGCTGGGTTGGTGGCGGGACGTCAAACGAAGTACGTTGCAGTGCTTATTAGCCTTACATGAGGCTCCATTTACCAAAGACAAGAATGGATCATTATGGTACACCACAAAGAGATTGCTCTACTCCATTCTGAAGGAATGGTTCTTGTTCAAGATGCTTTGTTGACTGTTGTGACCATAACCATAAAGCATCTTTTAAACAAGAATCATTCATTCCACCTTTTATGTATACATTTTTGCCCTCAAGGATTGGAGTATAGCACTCGGAGATGCTGTACAATATTTTCATATAGGCCTGAATCGCATATTTGAGTGAAGACTTCGATCCTTCCCATCACAGCCCCCCTCATAACACAATCATGTTCTTATATCAGTGCCTTCAGTCCCCTGCACATCATAGTTTTCCCCTTCAGAGTAGTGTTCTCAGGCCCCCTTCACAGTAGTGTACTGAACCCCCTTCACATTACACATGCCATTTACAGCAGTGTCTTCAACCCCTTTCAAATTATCACCCCCCACAGTACTGTCCTCTGCCCCTTCACATCAACCATCAACATAGATACACACACAGTAGTGTGCTCTGCCCTCGTTACATCGCCCCCCCCCCCCCCACACAGCATTGCCCCTATTTACATCACCCCCTACCCCTTCCTTCACATTGTCCCCCCCTTTACATCACCCCTCTCTACTGCACTGGCCCCTTTGCATCACCCTTCTACAGCACTGGCCCCCTTCACATCACAAACACACCCTCCCCCCCATCCGTGCGCTCTGCCCTTTTATCATCACCCCCCACAGCACTATCCCTCCTTTACTTAACCCCCCACAGCCCTGCCTCCCACTTTACATCACTTCCTCCCACATCACTTTCCCCATAGTGGTGTGCTTTGCCCTTTTGACATCAAGACAGCTCCCCCCTCCAGCAGTGCCCCATTTCACATCACCCCCTCCAATAGTGTCCTCTGCCCCCCTTCACTCTCAGAGAGTGGGAGGCAAGGATATTAATGAACTGAATACGGGAGGCACAGCTCAGTATTAGATGGAAGGCGGACGCTGCAAGAGTTACATTTACATGGTGTAGAGCCTATAGCAGCAATGGGCAAACTACGGCCCGTGGGCCGTATACGGCCTGGCGGACCTTTTAATCCGGCCCGCGGAGCGCGATACATTGGCTGTCAGGATGTGTGTAGGCGGGGGCAGCGTGACGAACGTGAGGGGAGCTAGGCTCCTCTCACAGTCCGCCCTGAAGACCGGAACGGCGCGGGAACACGGCGAGAGGAACGTGCGGAGCAAAGGTAAGTAAATTGACACAGGGGGGACTTGGCTTACTACTTGGGGGGGAATAGTACTATGGGGGATGAAATACTATATGAGGGATGAATTAATATGGGGGATGAATTAATATGGGGAATGAATTACTATATGGGGGATGAATTACTATGGGGGATGAATTACTATATGGGGGATGAATTACTATATGGGGGATGAATTACTATATTGGGGATGAATTACTATGGGGGATGAATTACTATATGGGGGATTAATTACTATGCTTACTATGGGGGAATATTACTATACTTACTATGGATGACACATACACATCATTCATCTACTCTTGGTCCGGCCCCAGGGTCCAATATATGAACCCATTGCGGCCCTCAAGTCAAAAAGTTTGCCCACCCCTGCCTTAGAGTGTAATTGGTATTGTAACCACAAGGGTCCCCACTGGAAGAATTCCCCTCTGTTCCAGACCCATTACCAACTAACTCAAAATGTTAGATCTTCCTCTGCTTTCAGTACAAGTGTCAATGGTCTCTGGGACAAATAGCCAGAGGGACATCTTGGATGAAGTTGCCTTCTCAGGTGTGTATTCTCAGGTGTTTTTCAAATCCTCTGTTTATGGCAATTCACTAAAAGTTCTATTTATCTTTTTGCTTCTTTAGATATATGTAGCACTATCCAGTTAGGAGTTGCTGAATTTTGGGTCCCCCTATAGTCCTGCATAGCCAAGCAACATGAATCTTCCCCATTTAGACTTGCATCCAGGAGACAGTAACCAGTCCTTGAGCTTGTTTTTTGGGGGGGATTTTATTAGGGGGATATAAACTTGGATGGGGTAAGGGGTGTATGGGATGTCCAAGGGTAATGGCAACAGAAGACAGTCTTCCTGAACTATGTACTAGTCTCTTTAGCAGCAAAAAAATATATAAATAGATCCTGCTTCTTGGGAGCTAGCCAGCATCTCCTGTAGTACCCCGGGTCCAATATATGAACCCATTGCGGCCCTCAAGTCAAAAAGTTTGCCCACCCCTGGCCTATATCATGCATATATTATGGTTTCTGGTTTGCCCATATTTTTTCTCTTTCTCTGACCTAACAATAACCAATGACATACGGATACATGTTAAAATATGATATACAGGGTATAAAAAGGTATACCTTAAAACTATTTTAAGTTATTATTATACAGAGTTTATAAAGTGCCAAGAACCTGACCAGCACTTTATAATACAAAGGAGACAGTACAGTTAAAATACAATTCCATGCAAGAGGGTTGGGAGGGCCCTGCTCATGAGAGCTTACAATCTAATAAGGAGAGGCATGCAGTAAAAAAGGTAATAGCTTTGAGGGATGATCGAATGGAAGGATTAAAAGTAAAGTTATTAGGTGGACATGGGATAGTCTTCCCTGAATAGATGATTTTTACAATCCTAAGGACAGACAGAGTAGGAGATAGCTGGACAGATTGAAGTAGGGAGTACCAGAGGATGGGTAAGGCTCTGGAAAAGTCCTTGAGGCCAGCATGGGATGAAGAGACAAGGGAGCTAGAGAACAGCAGGTCTTGGGAGGAGCAGACAGTTTGGGTGATATATTGAACCAAGATTGGTAAAGTAGCTTGGGGCAGTTGTAAATGGCCTTGTATGATGTTTTTAGTATTTTGAATTTTATTCGCTGGGTGATCAGAAGTTAGTGGAGTGATTGGCAGGGAGGGCTAGTGGACACTGAGTGGTTGATAAGGTAGATGGGTCTGGTAGCAGCAGTTATGATAGTCTGAATGGGGGATAACCTGTGCAGAGGTAGACCTATGAGAAGACAATTGCAATAGTCAAGGCAAGAGAGATAACCAGGAAGTGAATGAGGAGCTTGGTGATTTCATTGGTTAAGAAGGGGGCATATTTGGGAGATGTTATGGAGTTGAAGTCTACAAGATTTGAGCAGCGACTACCCTGGCATGTGGGGAGAGACTATTTTATCGTATCATTGATCTGCATGGGAAAATCTGGGATGGGAGAAAAAGTGGGGGGAATATTATGGGCGCAGTTTTTGGGATATTTAGTTTGAGTAAGTGGTGTGACATCCATACTGAGTCTCAGTAAATAATGCAAGAGGAGACTGAAAGGGTGAGGTGAAGAGATCAAGTGAACATGGGAAGAGGTATAGGAAAAGAGAAGAGAAGGAGAAAAGAGGTCCAGGGACAGAGCCTTGGTGGTACTACTTCAACCTCATCATTAGGTGCCAACCCTAATGACTGTTCTTATAGGATAAACCAATAACACTTCTCTGCCTGTTGCAAAATATCAAATACATTCTACATTCACTTGGGCTTTAATGGGAACTTATACTAAAGAAAATAAGTAGGATGCCACTGCTAAAGATTGCTAGATGCCGTTTATGTGTTTCTGTTCAAATGGCTTCAATACTTTGAGTCACTGACCCAAAACAAGCATATAAAGACTTCAAATGTTGCATGCCTGTTGTAGATTAGTTACTAAGAAGCTATAAAAAGTCAAACCAAACTTTTAAAATGGAGTTCAGCAATGGCAGCCACCACATTTCTCTTAGCATAAAACTGAGGGGATGGCTTGATGCAAAAACATCATATAAGTACATAAAGCATAAGTTTGTGAATTCAATATTTTTAGGAGAAATTGCCATGAGATAAAATAAGAACATACATATTTTGCACACATTTTCTAAAACTAGTGTGTTGATGTTAGAAATGGCACTATACATATACTATGAAACTTCAGTCAGGGCAAATGTAGTAATGCAAGAAACTTACGCGTGTCCACAGTCTCCTGGATGGGGATGAAGCCAACAGGCAATGTGTCTTTGATATCAATCAGTTTCATATCCACCAGGACATTCCCTAAATGGCTCTATGAGAAAAGGCGGACAGATAAGTATATAACTGATATACTGAAAATCAACACCAGAATAGATAAGTGGAGGACTCACATTCTCTCTGGAGAAGGCTCTGGTGAAACACAGGTATCTAGTCACCTTCGACTTAAATAAACCATCTTTCCACAGATCAGCATCCAGACCATCTGTTGTCTGAGAAACCTGTGATATGGTACATGAAATGATTGTAAATATCAGAAAATTACTGTAGATTTTTAGATCAAACGTTTGTTTTATTTGTTTTTATGAAAACAACAATTGACCAATAGAGGAAATAGCCCAAAAACATTTGATTTTGTCCCAATCCCACAGTTTCACTGGACAAATAGCTATGCAACGTACACCTCTTAGAGTGAACCTATACCTTCACAAAAACCCACCAAAAGAGCAAGTCTTAACAAAAAATAAAATATGTGAAGCACGAAACACCTGTGTATCCTGCGCAGACAAAGATGACCTTTTGCATGGGTGTACAGATAGGTTCGCCCATATGAATTAGGCATTAAAATGACATTGACACTACCAGTGAATGATTGATAATGTCACATTTAATGCTTTATGAACATGCTTCAAAGAGTATGGAAAGTTACAACTAGTGATGAGTTAGGGTTGGGTTTGAACCTGGAAGTAAGCTGTCATTACTAAACCAGTTAGCTTTGGGTCAGGGGAAACCATGCCCCGTAGCTGCACGTGCATAGAAGGGAGGAATGCTCATGACATCATTCACCTAATATGGCCACATTAGACCAATGTCATTGACCCAATATGACCATTATACAGGACGCTGAGGATGGATCTTGGATAGATGATATGTTTCACCTATATTTGGGTTGTGGTCCCTTTAAGAGGGATGGTTTTGGTGTACTCAGAGGTTCTCACCCATACAGGGAGAGAGGTTCCAGAACAGTTCAATCAGAAAGGAGAGGACTGACTTACAGTTCAGTCTGAATTGATAATTTCCCATTTGGAGCCCGAAATTTTGGAGGTTGAGATAAATATTCAGTTGGGAAAGAACCTCCACCCATGATTACGGAAGCTCTGGAACTGAAAGGGTTAAGCTTACCTCCAGGAAGCAGCACTAGTGCAGGGGTGGAATAGTAGAAGTTTGGGAGAGGAGACATCTGTCCCACTGCTGCATTTCATTTCATTTTATTTCAGGTACTTTTATAGCGCCGTCAATTTACGCAGCGATTTACATATATATTGTACATTCACATCAGTCCCTAACCCTCAAGGGGTGTACAATCTAAGGTCACCAACTTATATTCATGCTGGAAGCAGCAAAGACAACTGAATCTGGACTTTTCTAACTTTGGGTAAATCCCCTATGTGAACTTTGCAAGCATTGTGCTTCATCTGTGCTGAAAAGAAGTGAACTTTTGTTGTGTTGCCCTACCTGTCCTGCGGGTGTCAGCAGCAGGTGTCAGCCGCCGGGTCACTGCTGGTGATTACCGGCCGTTTCCCCCGGATTCGCGGTGATCGCTGACAGAGAGCAGGTCTGCATTGTTTACACACAGCCCTGCTCTGTGTCAGTTCTCTGACAGCTCGTGACAAGCTGCAGAGGGAGAGAAGAGTTTCTCTCCCGATCAGCCTGTCCCCGTCCAGCACATACCCCCGCCCCCCTAGTAAAATACTCCCCTCACACAGTAAAACTCTAAAATGTTAACCTCTTGTGCCATTAGTACAGTGTCAGTGGGTTGTTTTTTCACTGATCACTGTATTGGTGTCATTGGGATGTCAGTGACCCCAAGTCAGTTCCCCCCAGTGTCAAAATGTCCGCCGCAGTCCCGCAAATCCTGCCATAAGTCGCTGTTCACCGCCAGATGTCGCTGATCGCCGCCATTATTAGTATAAATAAAAATTAAAAATCCCAGTATCTTTCCTGCCATTTGGAAACGCTATAACTTTCATGTAAACCAATTAATTTACACGTATTGGGATTTTTTTTTTAGCAAAGACATGTCGCAGAATGCATTTTGGATGAAATTTGTGACAAAATTAGATTTTTTTATTTTTTTTTACTACTGACATGTTTTATAGCAAAAAGTCCAAAATATTGTTTTTTTTTTTTCTCAAAATTGTCAGCCTTTTTTTTTATAGTGCAAAAAAATTTAAAAAAACGCACAGACGATCAAATACCACCGAAAGAAAGCTCGATTTGTGGGAAAAAAGGATGTAAAATTTAATTTGGGTGCAGTGTTGCATGACCGCGCGCAATTGTCCAGTTAAAGTAACGCAGCGCCGTAACACAAACCTCTTCTGTAACCGCTTCCTGACCACCCTACAGCAGAAATACTGCTACAGGGCGGCAACCCTTTGATTGCCAGGAGCACGCTCATGTACAATAAACCTCCATTGCTAGTATAGTGTCTGAACGGGTCAATATCTTTGATCAGGTCAGCACTATACCAGCGTTCACATTAGTATAGTGTCCCCAAAAACTCAGCGTTAGCGGGATCAGCCCCTGCACCTGCCAACACCTGCGTTTAGCCCCTACGCTTACCACCCCTTCTCCCCCAGCAAGTGCAGTGTCAGTAGGTCACTGTCACTTGATACATTGCACACAAAACAGGCCTGATCTCTGTTAGCACTTGCCGGTAAATTTTGATGACTCTCATATGCAGCAGAGTGCCAGTACTAGTGCCGCTCTACCTTTTGGTGAACTGTCGAGTACCAGCGGTCTAGTACATCCTGGTCTTTCACATACCTCCTTGATTTTTGGAGCTGTTTTTCACGGAATATCTGTATGCGTTGATTGTGGATCAAATCAGTTTATATGCACAACAATTTATTGCCGCCAACCCAAATTCAAACTTTGCCAGACCATTCGCATGGAAACTCATTACAGTTTTCAAATTTCCATTTTTTGGGGCCTAACCCTCAACAATGGGCATTACTAAAAGAAATGAATTGCGGTTGTATTGGTCCGCAGACCCGATTCATCATATGCCGTGTTCTCGGCTGCCATGGCCAGGCATAGATATGACAGTATAATGTGTTTTATGCATTTCAGCGACAATACACTCTGTCATCCTCGGGGTTAACCCTGAATTTGACCGGCTCCACAAAATTCAGCCCCTCGCAAAATCACCTTAACCTAAAATGTGCAGATGTCTATACTCCCCAGCAAAACATCTGCGTTGAGAAGACCCTTATTAATTTTTCTGGCCGCCTTGCATTCAAACAATTTCTCCCCTGCAAGCGTGCCAGATATGGGGTCAAGATGTAGAAGACCTGTGAGAGGACAACAGGCTATACTTATAAGTTTCGGATTTACGAGGGAAAAGATAGTCACGTGGAGCCCCCCCGGATGCCCAGACTACATGGGGAGCAGTGGCAAGATAGTTTGGGACTTGGTGTCGTCATTTCTCCATATGGGGTACCACTTATACGTGGACAATTTTTATTCAAGCGTGCCACTATTTAGACATTTATTCAATCTTGGAACTGGCACTTGTGGCAAAGTGTGACCTAATGTGTGCCCACCATTAGAAGGGGGTGGATGCAGGGCGGTATATTCTAATGGTGGGCATACCACACACTTTTTTCTAGCAGAGATTTCTTCTCATTTTTTTTCATTCAGTCCATGGGCTGCATACAAAAAAAAAAAAAAAAAAAAAAAAAAAGGAACATAGCATATATAACCAACAAGGACCAGCGATGTACTGGTACATCACTGGATTTGAATGGTTATACCAGGATGATGCCTACAGCTGCAGGCATCATCCTGGTGTCGTTTTTTTTCAGCCGGTGATCGGCTTTCATGTAAAAGCAATCCTAGTGGCTAATTAACTGCAAGATTGCTTTTACAAGCAGTGGGAGATGATGTCCCCCCCTCCCCCCGCTGCCTTCCACGACCTTCTCGGGCAGTCTCGTGCCATCACAGGAACCTGAGAATGCAGCCGGTGTTTCTGCCTGCTGACCATAGAGCTGATTGGAGACCAGAATGGTGCCAATCATCTCTATAGTCTAAGAATTCGGAAGCCACAAGCATTTCATCACTTCAGTTTCACAGGATATAAACAGCGCCATTTGTAAATTGGGAAAGCATCTGATCACACCGATTTTGGTTTGATTAGATAATGTAAGGGCAGAGGAGAGATCTAGAGTCTGATAGACCCCAGATTTCTGAAAAAAGAATATATGACAATGCCCATTGAAGTTATAGGGGTTATTTGCATTCCCTGTTATAGCATTAAAAGTGATAAAAAAAATGAAAGGTACAATGTAAAAATAATTTTAAAAAAATTAAACAAAATAAAATTGCCCCTCCCATGCGCGCACACCTGTGTGCACAAGCCTTGACCCTGTGCCGTTATGTAAAAACAGCGTTGCACCATGCATGTGAGGTATTGCCGTGAACGTCAGATCAAGGGCAGTAATTCTAACACTAGACCTCCTCTGTAAATCTAAAATGGTGGCTTTTAAAGGCTTTTAAAGCGCTGCCTATGGATATTAAAAATGTTTTGCAGTTTATCGCCATTGAACGGGGCATGTGCAGTTTTAAAGCATGTCATGTTTGGTATCTATTTACTCGGCATATACCATTATCTTTTATATTTTACCAAACAATTGGCCAATATATTGTGTTTTTGTGCATTAAAAGTAAAAAAAAGTGTATTTTTTTTTTAAAAATTGCTTTTGAAAAATCGCTACGCGAGTACTATGTGCTATAAAAAATTGTAGTACCCACCATTTTATTCACTAGGGTGTCTGCTTTAAAAAAATATATAATGTTTGGGGGTTTAAAATAGATTTCCTAGCAAAAAATACAGATTTTTTTCATGTGAACAAAAAGGCTTGGTCTTCAGGTGGTTAGAAGAGAGAATGATGTGTGGCATAAACTTCTAATGCTGGGCATAAAATGCCCCCACCCCCCAAAATGACCTTTTTTTGGAAAGTAGTCACCCCAAACTATTTGCTGAGAGGAATGGTGAATCAATAGAAGAATTTATTTTTTTACCACAAGTTTTTGGAAAATGACAAAAAAAAATATATATTTTTTTTTTACACAAAATTGTCAGTTAACCACTTGCTTATAAACGGCAGGGCAGTGGCAGTCCAGGGGCGGGTTGCCGTTCATAAACGACACCCGGGAGGGGACCTCTGTACGAGGTCCTGATCATGTGATCACTGATTGGCGAATCAGTGATCACATGCAA